AATCCCATTCGGGATTTACTCCACTCCTGTCGTCATTGCCACTATGTCCCCATCCAAGTGGGGCACATAGCTGTCGCCAAATGTTTCAATAAGTAATGGAACGCAAGCGGTTACGGAATTGCAAAAAATGAAGTGAAATCAGCTGAAGATGATACAGTGCAGAATTGGGCTAAAGAGATATGACGCAGAATTGGAATAGCCCTTAGGACTTTTTGATTTTTCCCTGAATTTTTTCCTCTCGTGACTTTTCGGACAAAACCTGCCTCTAATAATTGCATTACATTAAATAAAGCACAGAAGCTAGCACAGAAGCAAGCTCGCTATCGAATTTCAGGCCAGCTCCCGATTGAACGTGGAGAGATGGGTAGCGATTTCACATTGACAAAATAAACTGAAGACGATGCCTCTCACGAACCTCCTTCTCACTAACCCTCCGTTCCGACCGTTTTGAAGGAGAATTTTCTCCTGTAGTAGAGCACGGCGTCGAAGAAGAACGTCTGAAATAGCTACTACGTTAACCGCTTTGCATTCGGCTGCGAGGGAATCTGAACCAACCTCCACGGCTGCGGCACTTCTGTCTGGAGCATCGCCAACAACCGTTGCTGCATCGACAATGGATCCCCGCCGATCGTTCGAAAAGCAGATCTGAGCTTGCTTGTATCTGGCTCGACAGAAGTGGAACGAACAACTGAATGGGCTAGTTCCGTCGAATGAGGTGATGCATCCGACAGCTCTTCATCTCTGTCCATTGATTCATCACAGGACATAGATGGAACGGGAGAAGTGCAATCACTCATCTGAAAGACTTTTCATTAAGGGCGGAAGACGACTGCGGAGAGACTTTCACACAAGAAGGAGAAACACTGGTCAAACGAGGTTATGGACATTCAATTAATATTCATAGTTATGCAATGTGCACATTGAACTATTGAAATCGTGCAGGAAGCAGAAGCCCTGAGCTCATGAGCCCCAGCTAACTTTCACAGTCAACCATTTGGTAACCATTTGGTTTTCTATGAAAGGGCTGGACTCATAGAGAGCAGCGTTCATCAGGGTCAACTGATGATGAAAGTGTTCTGCTGGAGCCAGAACACAGCGATTACCCGGCGAGTGCCATGCGGCAACAATTGGGGCACGTTCTCGGACCACCCTAGCCATCAT